GGTCTCTAGTTCCTGGAGCAGACGTTCTCTGACCCAGCTGAAGTCGTCCAGAGACCGCAGGAAGCAGCTGAAGGCCAGGGGGCCGCGGTTCGGGAGCAGGTCCAGGAGTCTGAAGACCTTCCGTTTATTCGTGGACTGGGACTCAATGTCCTCCACCTGAGAATCCGTAAGGATCTGCTCCTGGTACAGGTAAGGAACTATGTGGTCAGATACCAGGAGCTCAGTGGCAAGAGCCACTCTGTGTTTCTGGAGCAGGGCTCTGTGGGCCGGATCCATACTAAGGTCCCGACCGCTTCTCCCTTCACTTAATAATAGTTTTATTATTAATAATAATACGCGGCATAAAAACCGTGAAACTACATTGCACTCTAGTTCGTTCTCTCTAGTATGTCCGGCTGGAAACACGAAAGCGGAACCAACGTTCCGCCCCTCCCGCCAACACGTAAAACTAAAATTAAAACTTTAAAAACAACAGTTAATGTCGATATTAACACGTATTTTGTATAAGCTGTACTTTGCTAAATGCACAAAAAGTCAATAAAGGCATTATATCAAGAATACATTTTTCAAAATGAAGTTAGCCGCAGTATTCCACATCACTACGCATAAACCTAATACACGGTGTATTCCAATATTTGCTGAGGATAAAAACCTAAGAAGAAATTCAATCATTCTGTAGAATTTTCCAGAAGGCCGCGTTTGGATACACAAGCTAATAATTGTTACTGACCTACCCATAGTCAGCCATTACGGGTTATGAAACGCGGGTTAATTTCTGGGGGGTAAATTAAACTTTTCTCTGACATACTAAATAATATGACTTGAATATTTATTGACCTAATTGATTAAAATTCTCTTAAATCTGCCTTTTTTCGTTAAATTTTAAAAAAAGGCTTTAATCACATAATTCTAAAAACTACATACATTTTTTTAGCTTTTTATTTGTTTTTTTACAGAAAAAATATGACATTTGAAAGTCGGTATTCTAAGACTTTATTTTAGTCTAATTGGGTTTTTAATTTTTACAGGGTTTACTTTCCTTTGTTATTAATTAAGAGCAATACTGCAGTATTTTTCAAACTTTTTTCATTTCTATGTTAAAAACCTTATTCTTTGTAATGTTACGAGGTAAAATGTGCATTTAATCTGTGAAATAACTAAAATATACTTGTAGAATATGCAAGAGACAAGGGAAAAAAATCACAGAGAAATATTTTTAATCTCATGTTTCGGTGCACAGTCAGATTTTTACAGAACGGTGGTACAGTCAATAAATATTCAAATAATTATTTTTTGTTTATTCATCCAGCATCCCAGTGACAACTTACAGCGAACAGTCAGAAAATAATTGCCTCATAATCATCATTGTTGTCTCAACAATAACACGGTGAGCTCAGCCCATGTCTAATTACCTGAGCGGGTCTCAGAAGAGCAGCACCAGCACGGAGGAAGACCTCGCCATTGTACATGTGAAAAGTCTCGCAGAAAAGTTGATGTCGATTGAGGACAACTCTTTAAAAACATTGTTAAAATGTGTGTTGTACAGCCACGTTCCCTGTAGTTTCTTTCCGAATGAAACACTTGAGTTTTTCAAACTGGTACCTTTACCAAATCAAACCAGCTGTTAATAAAGAGACAAAAACTTCTGTTTGCTGTTGTTAAATGCTGTTGGTTGGTCAGATACGGAACGATATTCTCCCGTAATATCGCAGATTACCGCCGATGCCGACCTGTTTGTTTGTTTTTTTTCAGATTACCGCCGATGCCGACCTGTTTGGGTTTTTTTTTGCAGATTACCGCCGATGCCGACCTGTTTTTTAAAAAAAAACTGAAGCCATCGTTGTTGTTAAAAAAATCACGTTGGAATAAAAACAACACCTGATATGTTGGACCTTATAAATATCCAGAGATCATCCAAATCATGTTATTTTGCAGTTGTTCAGATATAAATGGTTGGTCATTGTTAGAGTACACCAACCCACGTCAGCGAGTATGATTTAATGACAGGCAAAACGAGGACTGGAGGTTGGGCAGCACCTGGAGCGTTGTCTCCTGAAGGTAACTACATCAGTCAAGCTTTTACAACTTCAACGTTATCCATGTAATTGAAGCATTGTTTATAGTGTGGTTGAAAAGTAAACTAATGCCTTCCCTAAGAAGCAGATCTACGACTTGATAATTATAATAGTAAAATACCTCTCTAAGCCCCTTCAGCCCACCCGTCCATTAATTCATCATCTGTCTGAACATTCTTTGGAAACAAATGAGGAACTGATCGTCTGACCAGAACATAGAGGCTCATGGTATGATTCACTAAGAGTGACATGGAAGACCTTGCCTCGCTGCCCCCCGCCCCATGGTAACAAGCCAAGCAGGCAGCTTTTCTTTTTCTCCCTGGTTGAACTGCAGCAGTACAGGAAACGTGTCGCTCCCTGAAGGGTTTGTAGCTAAACGCTTTTGATTTGCTTCAGGCTCACAGGTGCAGCGCCATCTCCTGTTCAAACCAGCACCATGTCCTTGTTCAAAACTGGAACTTAAGATGTTTTGCATCCTCTTATTGGGATCATAAAGTAGACAAGAGCCTAAGAGGGCTAGACCTGGTCTGAGCACCAACGTGACAACCACCATGACCCCACACCATTGGACACGACCTGATTCTGAGGGTGGGTAGACCTGGTTATCACGCCTTTTTTCTGCCCCTCAAACAATACCAGAACGTATATAAAAACAAACAAAAAATGTGTGTACACTTGTGTCCTTCTCCAGTCTTTTAGCCTTTGGTGTATTTAAAAAAGAAAAAGTTGTAGAACATTAAACTCATTAAGCCCATTCCAATATCAAAGTATTTCTAAAAGGCAAAAATTAGGTGGGCAGTATTATTTTCCATTTACTTAGTTCTTAGTTCACACCTGTTTTTTTCTCGTAACCAGCTTAGTCTGCCACCTGGTGCCTAGCTGGTCCTGTGCAAGTTGACTCTTTAAACTTGGATAATATGTCAGGAATATATGTTCTTTATCCGTGCAGGTTCTTAACTCCTTGACTTAAAAAGTCTCAGTGCACCTCCTCTCATAAAGGACGTGGCCTGGTCAGTGGCCGTGTCCGAGGATCTTCAGGACAGAGAAGTAGACCCCTTGTTTGACAGCAAGGACTTCCCGTCCAGGTATTGCACTGATCCGCCCTGAACAGATGTTAGCACCTGGTCCATGGTTAGCAGTGTCGCACGCGGCCGTTGCAGTAGCGTAACCCGTCCGGTCTCTCTTGCTGCATCTACACGTTGTAGGTGTAGTCCATCAGATAGTCCTTCAGCCTGTTGGGCAGAGGCAGATCCTGCACCTGCTTGGTCCTACAGTTGATGGTGATGCGACAGAGATGCTGCAGCGATGGTGTGGACGTGTAGACGGGTTTAATGAGCAGCAGCTGCAGCATGCCGTTGTGCGCTGTGGCTAAGGCTCCAGAGTCCGCTGTCTCGGCATCAGTTGTTGGTGGTGCTGCTAATTTGCTGTGTGTTCGGGACAGTGTGACGTAATGTTCAACCAGATGGACCACGCTGTTGAACTGCTTTAGCTTCGGTCGCATTAGAACCACCGAGTCCAGTTTGAACTTCCCGTGTTTGTACTCGATTCTGAGGTTGGTGGGACCCGCTGACGTCATGGCAGAGATAGTGAACAGATAGTCCCTTTGGGAGCTGTCTCGTACCAGGAAGGTGCCCTCTGCTGCATCTTGCAGGACTTCCCTGGCTTCAGAGGCCGACAGGCTGCCCCAGTACCAGCCTGAGTCCAGAGAGAAAAAAAATAAGTGAGCTGTATCGCAATGTGTCGCACTTTAGTCAGGCGTGGTTTTTGCTAAATAGCTAAAAACATGGAAATTCCCCCCAATACTCCCTGATTACAAGGAGCTCATTTCCTGCTCCAATTTTGAATTACCTCCCTCATTCACATCTAAATTCAATTTTTTTTTAAACATAAAATGGACATTGCATGGAAAAAACAATACACAAGTGCCAGGAGAAACCTTAAGTCAGAATCTATAGAACTCAGTTCTACAAAAACCTAATTTAAGAAATGGTCCTCTTAACAGTCTGTACTGTTGTTTGTCATTGTTTATTGTTCTCAAATAAATATTTTTTTATCTCACCTGTGTTCTTTAAGTCTTTCATGGCCAACGCAATGCGGCTCTCATCAGATTCTACAGCTCTGGAGTTGTCGTCAGCCCGTCTGTTGGTCTCGACGGCATCTGTAGCCTCTGATGACTGGCAGGTCATTGGACAAGTCCGACCTAGATTTGAGACATTGATGAAGATTCAGAGTCCTGCACCGTGCCATTCCATTGTGGAGACAAATTTGAAACAACAACAAAAAAAAGGAATCTAGAAAGCTTAACCAATTTTTTTTTACTACTACTTTTTTACTTTACACTTCATCCAAGCCTCAGGTAAACTAAAATAGTATTACTATCACCCCCTCCTCACTATTTAAATCAATTTTCTGATTTTAAATCTTAATATTTATGTGTGTTTTTTTTAATAAAGTTCTGGATATTTTTCTGTGAAGAAAAAGTGTCATGAAGGACCAACTTTTAAAAACCTCTTTTTCTTGTTCTATCGTCTGCTTAGGACCGTATTCTAACTCTATGTCGTTGTCCTTGTTTTCCTAAACAAATATTAGTCAATGAGTCCGGACTTAACTATATGTTGTTGCTAGAAAGCGTTATTACATAAGACTAGACCCCGCCTGTGGATTCTGCTGTACAGGCAGTTCCTGTTTGACATTTGGCGAGCTGTAACTGAGCCGATCTTGGGAGGAGTTCCGATTGAACAAAAGAAGATGAACGTCTAATTATCGACGGGTTTTCCTCATTGGCTCTAATCATGTAAATTATACATTTCAAATGGAACTTCGTTTAGCAAAAAACTCTAGTGTTACTTCTTGAGCGGAATTAAAGAATGTGCTTTTAGGAAAGAAAAGCGCGTTGTTTAATTTTCAGGCAGGCTAGAACGCAAAAGGGGAAATAAAATAGGTGGAAATGTGAATGGGGTTTGGTGTGGGGTAACGTTTATCTTGGCTCCGTACGAGCAGCATGTCACGGCACAGTAGTAAGCTCTCCCCTTGCCCCACTGTGTATATCCTGTGTGATAATATCATCCACCTTCACAGTATCAACACGGTTACTGATTAGACATGACCGTACCTACCTGGTTGTCGCTGTGGAAGCCAAGCGGCAGCCAAACCGCTGCGGCATGGACGTCACTTTATCTTATACGTACAAACACAATCCTACAAGACATCGGAAATGTGATCGTACGAATGCAATGGACGGCTCCTCTGATTCGGCTTGGTTCGGCTTCGTGTTCCGTTCTCCTCAACGGATGATCAGAGACGAAACAAGGAGGGCGAAGCGTCAACCTGTCATTCCAAACAACAGCAGTCGCTGTCGGGGCATCCAGCAACAACACGCCGCTTATTTAACAGTCAGTCCCCGCAGTTCCAGAAGAAGAAGATTCTCAGCACCGTCGCTGTTCGTCTGTCAGTCATTGAGCCTAGGACAACACTGACCACCGAGCCGCTTAACACCATAAACACAAAGAAGCCAATTCTTGGAGCTTTCCAGGAATATAGTCACGCGGTGCAGCGAGCGGCGATTTAAGTGGTTGACACATAGACACACGCGTGCACACGCGCGCGCATGCACAGACACAAACACAGCTACACCGACACATTCTCTAACTTACAGATACAGTACGTCCATAAAAAACACAAACATTTGTGAGTTTATATTTACGAGGACGCATTTAACCTGAACACAGAAGCACACACACATACGCGTGTTTATTTTGATTTGGCGACACTTTGAGGCCAAGAATTTCAACCGCCTAAAAACGTCTCTCACTTTCATACAGAATTCAAACCTCTGTTTAAAATGTCTCGTTCTCCCCATTTATCATGGCTGTTTAGTTCAAAGGTGATTCCCGTCAAACCAGGAAGTGCTTAACTGTTTTTTAGAAAAAATAGCCTTTACAAAATACATCTACGAATACGTCCTCTTGGTTAAAAAGTGATTAGCTTCACTGAAGAAGTCGTTTCTTTCAGATAGACCATTTAGTGTTTAATACTATAAATGATTTAAAAGAACATTTTTATTTTTTTTAGTATTTTAGGCTTGAGTATGCAGCTGTATATGTAGGATTTCTTATATGAAAGTTGTTTCTTGTCAGTAATACTTTTAAAGTCTTTTAAAGACTTTAAAGACTTAAAAAGGGTTATTTCGGGCTGAAGGTAATGTAACAGTTATGTATTCTGCCAATAATTACTCATATATTAAATTATTACTCATAATACGTTCTCCAAAGTTCTCCAAATGTACAACCATAGTTTTTGCCATTCTGCGTGTAATGTTCTGTGGCGCAGACAGATGGCAGCAGCGCTTTTAGCCAAACATCTATAAAGCGGAAAAGGTGAAGAAGAGTCAGTGGCGGGTTGTTTGGTTGTCTGCTAGTTGCTAACTAAGAACACTTTGTTTTAACTCAGTGACAACTCAGTGACGTTTTCTCTCCGGTGAGTCATGTATTTATCCTACAAACTTTATACGCACTATAATTTTAGTCAAATTACAAAGTACTTTTATATATTCACAACGACGAGCTGTTATTTTGTTCAAAACTTATTTTAATTCCCCTTTTGGTTCCATATCGAACGACATTAAAATAATCATTCGTTCTTGTTTTTTAATATACTTCCATTAACAGCAAATTATCATTTCATAAATCAAATACTTCCATTAACAGCAAATTATCATTTTGAACATTTAGCTCATTTGCTGTATTACGGTCGCACTACGGTGTTTACGTTTAAAGCCACCCGGGCTTTCAGATATTTATTTATAATGTATTTTTGACAACATATTTAAAACATATAGATCTTTAAAACCAGTCACACGATTTAGGTTTGGAGAGTTGTAAACTATAAGCGTTTCTCATTTACTGTATCTGTATCAGTACTACCTGCATCAGGACAATGACTTACTTTTTAATAAAATATTATTTTTGTTATTATGCTTGTTTTATTGTTTCAGAGTAATGGCGTCACCACCCTCTTAATAATCCTTCTCCATCATAGAAAACATTAATACATACAGTAGCTAAATGGAATAGCATTAAAACCAGAGCCAATTTATTGTGATTTTAAGAAGTAGTAGTGAAAACACTAAACCATGAAGTAAAAATATTGTACACATTTGTCTTTAACAGTGGAAAAACTGTCATGGAGTCAACAGAGAGCAGGTTTGCTCATCTGCTCCAGCCAATCAGAGAACTCACTAAGAACTGGGAGATCGATGTGGCATCAGAGTTAAATGACTACTTAGAAGAAGTAAGTTATGCCCAGAATGATTGTTTGTCTATTAAAATATACATTGCATGTCTATTAATATATACATTATTAAACAAAAAACAAGAAGGTTTTATCTTGAGGCCATAAAATGAAAACGTTTTTATCATTTCTTTTAGTGGAAAACAGTTTCAGCCTTACATTTTGCTAAACAATGCTAAATGCATTTTTTTTATTAATCTGATTTACTTTGTTTGTTTTCAAGTAACAATTATTTTTACATTTGTTTTATTGTAATGTTATTATTGTTTGTTTCCCGAGCTTTATTGATGAGTAAAATAAAAATTAAAACATTAGAAATTACCATTTTAATTGTGTTTGTGTAATGTTATTATTGTTTGTTTCCCGATTTTATTTATTTATTTAAACCTCCTCCCTGTCCTGATTCCAGCTGGAGGAGATGTGCATCACATTTGACGGAGAAAAAACTCAGCTGAACTTTGCCGAGGCAGCACTGCTGATCCAGGGCTCTGCCTGCATCTACAGCAAGAAGGTTGAACACAAAGGAGCTAAGAGTTTGCCTAGTCACATAATTCAGAGCGTTTTTTAAAATTTGTTCATGTTCTTTTAGGTGGAGCTGCTGCACAATCTTGTTTACCAGACTCTGGAGAGCATCAACGAGAAGAAGAAAAAGTAAGAGGGGTCCAGTGCTGTAAAGCATGGATGTAGAGAAAACCAGTCCTTAAAAAGTTTTTTATGTTAACTTGTCAAGCTGTTGGTGAAATTTAATGTTTTCTTTTTTCTCTCTTCAGACGTAACAATCAGGGCGCTGACTCTCAGGATGGCGTCACTAACTCAGGAGAAGAAATAGATGATGCTGACGAGGTAGATTAGATTTTTTGATTCTGATTAAAAACAGTGTGAAATATATGGTTGAAATTTCTGTTTTTATATTTCCCTGTAACAGTTTGAACCTGTGGATGTCGAGGAATCACAGATGTCTGCGACTTCTGACCTAAAGAAGGTAGTGTCATAAAAACAGTTTTTGTTCGCATGTTTTTTCCCCTTCCTTCTCAGACTAAGTACTAACTACTATTATCAGTCCTTTGGAGACCAATCCATCTCCTACGGTTAGTGGCCCTGGCACTGTCTCGCTCACTATCCCTCGCTTGGTTATTTTACCCATTTATTTAAACAATAATACAATAATAATTTAATATTGTTTTATATTATCAATATTATCAATATATTTGTTTATCTATGATTTTGATAGTTGTGGTGACGTATGCATGAAAGGCAGTAGGTCAAGGACGTCATAAACCGAGGACCCCATGTATACTTCATAAAAACTAAAGCCCTATTATGAAATGCTGCAAAAAGACAGTCAATGTTTTCACTCATTCTTTTATTTTAAAAATTGATTAAAGACCATGGTTTGAACTGGGTCACATCCCTTTTTAATAACACTTTTGGATCCAAGTATCAATCACCTCTGTAATTCATGATGATCAGATCTGGACTGCAGGCCGGACAGTCAAATACATTTTATCACTAAAGTAACACTTTTGTAATTTTTGCAAATGTACTTGTCCTGGTTTAACAGTGTAGTGTCCGTCTTTTTGTTCCAGCATGAGTCAGTGGATGTGATTCCTCTTCCTCCTCAATCTCTGGTTCCTCTTGAAGCCCTAGAGAAACAAAAGTTTCCTTTGATAAGGTGAGTCCTTTCATTTTCCGTAGTTCAGTATATTGTTTTTATTTTTCTTATTTTTTCACTTTTTTGTAGAAGAAAGGTTCAGTTCGAATTTCAACCCATGACTCACTTTGTTGTGTGTGTGTCCCAGTTTAAAAGGCGAGGTGCTGTGCAGTTTGAAGGATTTTAAGATGAACCTCTTCATCCCGGGAGATGACGGCATGGTCCTCCTCCACCAGGGTCCAAGATCCAAATTCATCAATGTGGATCTGAGTCAGACTTTTTACCAGCTGCAGGAAAACGGAAGAAGTAAAAAACCGTCAGCACACAGTGGACATATTTGAATCACACTTTTATGATCGTAGATTTTAACGGAGGTTGGGGTCCTGAATTCCCAGATTTGCTGGCTTCACCTTCAGCCGGCACTTCATTTGGCGCGGCTCACACTGACGATGACGACGACAGGCACGAGGAGTTTGTGCCGTTGGAGGACCACAACATGGAGGTGGAGCAGAACATCGAGGAACATGTGGAGAGACACCAGGTCGGAGTCTGTTTGATTTGATAATCTGATCAGAGTACACAGGCTTCCTGATGTTCTCAGCTTCAGGTTTAATCATAATTATTGTTCAGAAGAAAAAAAAAGAATGTGACCAATCAGAATCATCTAGTTTTATTTAAATGTGTTGATAAGATCTTAACTTTATCAGATATTATTTTCTATTGTCCTCAGGGTCCGAGTGAAGGTCGAGTTCTTCGAGAAAGACGAGTAGAGACGGACAAACCAGTAAATGAGGAAGAGGCGCCCCCTGCTGTACGTAGAAGTTTTAATTATTATTGAAAGTACAGTTTGAGTACTTAGTTACAATTTTCTGTTAATATAAGGAATGGGTATAGAAAATAAATAGATTGAAGTCATGATAGATCGATAGAAGTCTGTTCCTTTTTTGTGTATTCTGTATGGGGACACAGATCATGTCATTCTTCTGTCCTTGTCCATGTTTGTGTTTCAGGTGAATGTATGGACGTTTCATGACCCATACGTCGTCTACGGAGAGGAGAAACCGTTTCAGTCAGGTACTGGTCCTGATCCTAGTGAAGATGTGTTTATAGCCTAAAGTTTTCCTTCTTTATTACCTCTGTCACTAAGTTTTGTTTCGATGTGTTTATAGCCTAAAGTTTTCCTTTTTTATTCACTCTGTCACCAAAGTTCGTTTTGGTCCTTTTTCTTTCAGGAAAATGTTACAAAGTTCCTGATGGCCTGGACGATGGAGGGAAGAGGAAACGTAAAAGAGCTCCTGCTCTTCAGGACTTCAGGAGCTGGTTCAGAGGAACCTGTAAGAACAGAACCTTTTCTGATGAGTCTGAACCAACAGTTGTTTAGATTTAAAATGATTTATTTAATTTCCTTCTCTTTCAGTTGATCCTCCAGAACACAAACTGAGACACGGACCCAAGTTCATAGGTTCATATGAGTTAATATTGTTCCCATAAATATTACTATACTATTATAATAGTGATACAATTATTTTAACATCTATATTCTAGAACTTTGCACTATTGTGGCAAGATTTAAAACCATGTTCTTTCTTATAGATTTATTTCTTAGATTGGATTACACTATGTTGTCTTTTTATTATACTTGAAGTGCAGTGTGTATAAACAGTGTTCTGTGGTTTCAGACTTGAACTATGTTTACCTGAGTACAATAAAGGAGAAACTGAAGAGTCGGAGCAGAATCAACAAAAGAGCAGTAAGGAACTTTCAGTTTTTACATTTTTCTTTGGTCCTGATTTGTCTAGGAAATGGTTGAAACAGATGTACAGGGGTGTTAAACATAGGGCCCGCTGGCCAAAACTGGCAAGCAAGTAAGATTTATCTTATATACTTGTAGTTATTTGCATGAAAACAAAGGGGAAAAACATGGACTTATTGTTGTTTATAGGTAAGTATGTTATGATTGTACTGGTCCAACCCTCTTAACATCTAATTAGTTTGTAATTTCCAAACTCCTAAACTGCCATTCTTCTGCATTTGATGTTATTCAGGGCGTGGTGATCTCTGAGGAAGAACTGAAGAAGACGTTTCTGGAGAAGGAAGTTCCAGAGCAGCAGGGGGAGGAGCCTGTGGATGAATTTAGACATGATTTGTTGGGTAAAAAAAGACCCTAAAAAGAGATTCAAATGCTGTCAACTCTGATGGTTTGAAATGAAAGTTTGATTTTCTTTTACAGAAGGCGAAGACGACGGCCTGTCGGAGAACGAACAGGAAGCGTGTGATGTTGATGACTTCCCTGCTGAGTTTGGAGGAGGTGGCGGCGGCGACCTCATTTCACCTGGTAGAATAAACTATAAACTTACATGGTCAACTGCTTTGTGGATGCAAATATCTAATCAGCCAATCAGATGGCAGCAACCCCTAAAACTAACTGTTAAGTAAGTCTATGTTTTAATGTTGTCGCTGCGTGTGTGTGTGTGTGTGTGTGTGTAGATCTTGGAGATGTTTTGACATACGAAGACCTGGTGAAGCTTCATGTTGTAAGTTGTTGTTTTTGTAAACCCAATACTGATATTTAGAAAAAAACACAGCCTATTACCTATATATTTTTGTCAAACTAATACAGCTTTCAGCTAGCAGGCTAACTTTTAGCTTTTTTTTTTACACTATTTTGCCTAAAAGCAATTCAGCAACTTGATGTTTCAGCTGATTTTAAACTGTATAAATGTATGTATATTTTTTTCATTTTGTATATAAACTTTTTGCTACATTTAGACTGTTTTGGTGCACATCTAGCTATATTTTAGCTAATGCTAATCTTTTTTTTGTTCTTCTGTAGTTCTTGATAAAGTTTAAAAGTAAAAGTGCTCTTAACTGTGTTTAGGAGCAACTGGTGCAAAACTCTCAAGGTTACATCCAGGAGACAGCTCTGTCTCGAAGAGTCAAAGACTGGGAGGACAAGATCCGTCCAGAGCTGGAGCTGCAGGTCCAGAACCCTGACTACATCGTCCTTGTTACACCCTTCCTTGCCCTAATGTCCCACCCTGACATCTCCTTCTCTTTCTCTCTGTGTGCATTTAAGGAGGAACGTCCCATGTTTGACATCCACGACTATGGGGACAGAATCGTCAGATCGCTGGGCAGTGTGGGAAACCACCAGAGGTTCTCATCGATCGTTCAAGGTCTGGACAACTTCGAGGCCTGTAAATACCTGCTGGCTTCATTGCAGCTGGTGAGTGTGACGCACAATCAACCCTCGTCTCCACTCCTCCTTCACACCTCCTCACGGTTGTTCTCGCTGCATCTCAGGCCAACGACTACACGGTGGAGGTGGACAGCGTCAAAGGTCTGGAGGAGAGTCTGGACACAATGGGGCTGACGCTGCTCAGTCTGAACAGAGCCACAGAAAGATTCAAGCAGGATGAGTTCATTGTGGGTGAGACCTGAGCCGGGGACATGTCCTCGTACATCACAGACACATGGACTCAGAAATGATGCTGATTGGATGACAATTGTTGATTATTATAAAAAAATTGCATTTGTAACTTCATTCTAAAAAATATATATTTGTTTTATTTTATGTTTTTGTGTTTATATATTGTCTTTTTTTACACTGTTGTTTTCTGTATTTGGTTTATTTTGTGACACGATCCCTGGGGGGAAAAGAAAATCACATTTGAACATCTCCCAGAATTTATCTCAGCACAGGAAGCAGTGTTTATATGAGGGTAAGTGGAGTTGCTGGACATTTTTGAAGTAGTTTTCAAGAAAGACAAGCAAGTCCCTTTGACTGCTTCAGAATGACCTGAAGACCAACAGAATGAGGGATAACCTGAACCTCATGGATTTGGATTTGAAATCTGGATCTGGTTAAACATGAACTTTGCCTAAATCTGATTTGTTTTTAGGCTCAGTTTAATATCTCCTCAGGAGAAAACAATGTCTTTTTTTTTACAAGTTTCATAAGTTTAATGTCTACAGTCGTTGTCAGTCTCAGGATGTCTTTTCCAGGGGGACATAGGTCCTGATGTGGTTTCTGATGTTCTCAACCATTTGTTCCTCGTTCTTGGTGCGGTTGTAGTAGTCCAGAAGCAGCCCATCAGGAGAGATGAGGTAGATCAGGACCGTGTGATCGACAATGTAATCTCCATCCTCGTCTTTTGGCCCGGCGCTGGAGTATACCCTGAAGTCTTGCCCCGCTTCTTTGACCTCCTCCAGTGTCCCCGTCAGTCCGATGAGTCGGGGATGGAAATCTTTAATGTACCGGGCCACAGCCGCCACGTCGTCTCTCTCTGGGTCCACGGTGATGAAGAGCGGCTGCACCTGGGGCAGCGCTGGGTCCTGGTCCAGCTTCTCCACCACAGCGCTCAGCTTCTCTAGCTCTTCAGGGCAGATGTCAGGGCAGTGAGTGAAACCGAAGTACAACAGCACCCAGCGACCCAGGAAGTCGTGTTTGGTGCGGCGTTGCCCCCTGTGGTCCAGCAGGCTGAAGTTCCCCCGACCCAGGGTCAGCTGCCGCAGTTGCTCTACACGTTGTTGCCGCTGCATTTGCTTCTTTTCCTCATGAACGTACCACCACGCTGCCAGTACGCCACCGCCGAACAGCACCGTCACCAGAAGACGCGTCGCAAGCTTCGCCTTTGGGGTAGGCGCTGAGGAATTGCGACCACTAGAAAGGAAACGGTGCTGAAGACTTCCACAAGGTCTGAGGTGAGTCAGTGATGTCACACAGGGCGATGACACCGACGTCTTCAGGACCAGAGGAAGACGCCTGTGTGCCACAATCCATCGTAGCGCCAACATGGTTGACCCTCAACCACCTGTGTAACAAAAATCAACTGAAGTTGTTGAAACCTTTTTAAACTACTAAACTGGTCTGTAAATTACGGAGTATCAAAAGTCCCATTCATTACACTCTCTGAAAGTTAACGCATTATTCTGACTATACAGACAGAGAAGGGCTGCTGTCACGACTCTAACCAAGCACAGCGTTTGGGGCGGGGCCGTGACTTCTGCAGCGCTCACATGAACATAAACAACAGACAATATACTAAATATATACTAATATACTAAGATACTAAAACTTTGTATCTCTTACAGACGCTAAGTTTTATAGAACCAAAGTTATTTGTGACATTTGAGAAATTTCTTTGTGCCTAAAGTACTATTTTAATGAAGTACATACTGCGGATGCTACAAAAATCAGCTTAAAAAGAACCGTATTTAATTCATATTGTTTGTAAACCAAGTGTTACTGCGGTTTTATTTGTACACCAACCCCTTACGACACTAAATCTTAATTATTTTTTTTCAAGTGTTACTGCGGTTTTATTTGTACAGCAACCGCTTACGACACTAAATTTTAATTTAATTCTTCATTTTGTACATAATTGTAATTTGTAGCCAGAAATCACACAATATTACGTGGTACTGTTGACAAACCGCAGTGAAAACGAACAGAACAGCGCCCACATCTACCGAATGTTAAAAATTGGATTGTTAGAACTGTAAGATACAGCGACCTTACCGCATACACTTCCTCTGTATACCACGTGACCATCAAACTGCCGGTTTGCTGAAACGGAATTCAACTGGTTGAAATTAGGTCAGCTGATGCTTACGTAGACCGGATATGATTCTGACGTGTTTCCGGAATTAGCGTTAAATCTATAGTTTGTTAATGTATGAATAATTTATTGTTATTATACATTTATGCCTCAGGGAATATAAATCAGGGTTTATACAAGAAGACACGACATTTTATAGAAAAATATAAAACAGAAACGCGTTTAAACAAAAGAACAATTTTAGGGCCACTTCATATTCAACTTTGACAGAATATCGGTACAATTTTAGGGCCACTTCATATTCAACTATATCGGTACAATTCAAATTCAAGTGGGTTTTTTTTTGTATGATTAGAGGCCAAATATTAATCCTGATGATCATTTGTGCGTTTTCCTGCGTAATAATCCGTCGTTGGTTTCTGAATTTAGCATTATACTTGATGGCACCAAACACACCTTTCATTCTGTCTTCAGGTAAAGAAACAGGGGTTAGTGAGCCACATCACAAACAGGTTCATTCAATATTCGTGTCATGGCGTCTGTTGCCAGGCTGACGTCACTCTGCATCACCGATAAATAGTGATGCTGTTAAAGAAAAAAAAAATAGGACAACAGTCTGTGGTGAACAAACAGAGGAGACTGCTTCAGCTCAGCACCAGGTATCCACCCGTCCGTTATTTTACTCCCTGTGTGTGCATCAGTGTTGTAGATGTGTGCAGCAGTGATGAAGGTCGTTCTGACGCAGCAGGAACTTAAAGGGACCGTGTCACTGCTGCTATTAACATGTCACTCTGCACATACTCTTAATGACAACGCACTGAATCCAGAAACGCTCTGATTTTTTTATACAGTCATGACAGCAGCAGAATCGACTGACATCACCTGCTGTGTTCAAAGGTGGCTGGGACAAAACAAACCTGAATCCCACTGACACTGTAGAGAAGTTAAAAACCTACAATTTTCTCTGTAGGATTGTTATTTTGAATCAGTCTCTCCCTAAAAATCTGCATTTACCTGTATTTATTTTCTAAACTCAGTGCCATCAGCCTCTCTCTCCCCCTCTTCCTCTTTTCCTCTCCTCCTCCTCCTCCTCCTTTATTATGCTTCAGCTCCAGGATGATGGAAATGCAGCATCGCTCTCTGCGTGGACAGTGAGGAGACTTCCTGGTCTCCATCTACCTCCCCCTATCCTCTCTCCTGTCTCTCTGATCTGTGTCCTCCTCTTCTTGCTCCTCTTCCTCCTCCTCTCTCACTGGTGTCTCTGAAGAAGCAGCAGCAGGAGCTGAAATCATGGATGGATTCCGACTGCCGCCTGTTATAGAGGAGGTGCTGGACCCATACGGTCAGTCTTCATCTTATATTCAATTGTCACTGATGACGTTAGCAGATTGAGCGGGTGATTGATGGCTGATTGACATGTGATTGACAGCTCTTTGACTGAGAAGTGATCGGCTCCATTTTCAGCAACGATGGAGCTACTAAAGAAATGAAACAGATTGAGGCATCATAGATGCTCCACTTTTGTATTCTCTCATTTTGTTTTCATCCTATTTGCTCCTGTTTGGTAAAATGTGTCACTTCCTGTTTCCTTCAGAATAAAATAGCTCCATTAGAGATGTCGAAGGAGAATCTTACCTCGAAGTAAAGTTGACACCAATGATGGAACTGAACCTGCACTTGTGGTTACTTTGAAACTTAGATCTTTGTTTGTAACACATTGTGTATTGTTGGATTTAAAGTTAAATAGATCAAATTGAATTGGTTTAGACTACCTCCCATGTTTATTTTCAACAATCAAATAAATTAGTTTCCAACCATCAGATGCTTATATCAGTGAGAGACAAGGCTGATTAAAGCTAAGAGAATCAGGGACATTTTTATGAATTTGACTTGGAAAAAAAATCAAAGATTATCTTTGAATTATTTTGAAAGAAACAGGAAGTGCATACACGTGTTTATCTTCCAGTATCATCAATAATTTACTCATGGACGTTCCTGCAGAGAAATCGATGTGGCTGTCTCTGTGTAAAGGAGTAGATGGTGTTGATTTCTCTCACTACAGTAGATTTATAAGGTACTCTGTGTACTTCAGAGTATTACTTCTCCTTTGACTCCTGAGCTAACTTTTGGCTGCATAACTCTTTATTAAGCGTACTATATTTTAATATTTTTGGGAACTTAAATTTTTGACAAGCCAACATTTAATTTTAATCATTGAACCACACCAATTAATCAAATGTTAAATGTGTTTTCTCCACGTTGGCCGGCAGGTGGAGCTATTGCTCAGCAGAACATAAATACCTCTCCAAGGCCTGAATGATCTCTGGTGCCTTTACCTAACGTTTGTTTGTTTTTCAGATGAGCTGTGTGAGCTAAAGGACAAGGACGAAGAGAAGCCGCGAGATAAAGAAAAATGCCAGCAGCAGGACGAGGAAAAGGAGGTGAAGGAGGAAAAGGTGAAGAAGGTGGAGGAGGATGAGGAGGACAAAGAGCAGGAGACAAATGAAGGGCAAGATGAGGAGGAAGATGGAGAAAGAGAAGCGTGGGAGGAGGAGCAGGAGGTGGAGGAGCTGAGAGCTCAGGTGATGCATCTGCTGATGGAGCTGGAGGAGACCAGGGAGGTTTCTCAGAGACACGAGGACAGTTTCACTGAGATGCAGGGTCAGTGTTGTCGTCTTGGTGTCTCTTGTCGGTTCTTTTGGTTTTAACTAGTAGTTCAAGCTCAAGATTAAAACAAAATATTTCTTTTCAAACCTCACATTATTTATATTTGTTATCCTTGTTTATCCAATGATGAGAAAGTTACATGTTAGTTTGGAGGATCTGTGTTAGATACAGGTCATACTTCTGTTTTTCTTTTAAAGTTTTCATATTTATTTTGAACATGTAGTTTAAACTACTTTAAATAGTTTTAACTTAAATTTTGAGTTGTTTGTTTGTCTCAGGTCTGTTGGAGAGCGTCTGGCCAGCACCAACCAGGCCGAGACTTTCACCAGACAGATCCACAGACTGCAGGGTAGTACACTTTTTTATTTTATTTTATTTATTTTTTTTCAATCAGGGATTTCATTGTAGTAACAACAAAATTCAGTTATAGATGCATAGGTTCCACAGAAATTCTGATTAAAATAAAAAGAATTGTTTTATTAATTACCAGGTTCCACAGAAATTCTGATTAAAATAAGAAGAATTGTTTTATTAATTAAATGTCACCTTCTCTGACTGGTGACCACACCCGCTCCTCTGTGGTTCTGCAGCACAGCTGCGTTCCGTCCAGGAGGAGATGCACAGCGTGGAGGAGGAGAAGGACCGAGAGCTGGACGAGATGCAGGAGGAGCTGCGTTTGGCTCACGAGGAGGTGCTGCTTCTGCAGCAGGCCGCAGAGGAAGTGGCGGCGGAGAGGGAGAACGACATTGCCTTACTGCAGGAGGAGCTGTGTCGTATGAGGGCGGAGCTACAGCGCCTCCATGCCACGGCGCAGGAGTATGAGCTGGAGATCACGACGCTGAGAGCAGAGATTAGTATGAAGAGTCAGAATACAGTGACAAGCCCACAGGGTGAGGAGGCTGGGAGTCTGTCCACTGAGATTAGGAAAACAACCACTAGGTGGCAGTAATGGGACTAAAAGTTGCTCAACATAGTAATCCAATGGATTTTAGAAATGCACCATGGGACAAACGCAGTTATAGCACACAGCATCACTGATAAATGTAGCTGTACACCCTCACCAACGTGAACATGGTAAATAAAAGAGGCTAATGTTTTAATTTTTATTAAATAATTATGGAATAAAATAGAATTCATTGGAGAATTACTTACAAAGCTTTAAATTAAAAAATAATAATAATTGTGTCCAGCCATTACCTAGAAAAGTAACTTTCCTTGAAGGCTCTGCTAAATTAAGCCAATTACTTACAAAGCTTTAAATTAAAAACTAGAAAAGTAACTTTCCTTGAAGGTTCTGCTAAATTAAGCTAACCGTGCTAACCTATTGTAACCTAGCGTGTTTTTGTTGAGTTTTGAAGGCAAATCTTTTCTGCTTTCTACTGGTAAATGTTTCCACCCAAATGGTTTTTGTAAAGTTTAAAGTTCCCGTCTGTGATTTGCAACTGCTTTCATGCCTCTTCTATTATTTTTTCAGGTGAAATGACACAGCTGAAGGAGGACCTTGATCAGTTGAAGGATCAGCGCCAAAGTCTGAGCAATGACAACAAAGAACTGAGCAGCAAAGTGGAGCAACTGCAGCAACGGAACACGTGGGTAGTTGTCAATCAGACAGGATTTCAAAGTTAACAACCCCAAACTTTACTAAGTCACCGTTATCCTTCCCATGCACAGGAGTGAGGACGTATACCTGGCTGTCAGGGCACAAGATGACCAGGTGAGGGCGCACTCTTACATCACTCTGTCACAAGAAAATACCTCTGACGATCAGGACGAACTCAGCATCCTGAGGGCTCAGTTGAGAGATGCTGAGGAGACGGTCCAAAGAGTTCAGAGACGGGTAACGACCACGTGAGCTCAGACTGCCCCCCGGTGTTTGGGCTGTGTAACAACCTGTCTTTCACTCACTCACTCTCTTAGTGCAACAGTTTGAAGAACGAGCTGGCCGAACTGCAGCAGCGGTACGACCTCAGCCAGAGGGAGCGAGCGGCGCTGGAGCAGCAGCTGCAGCACTGCAGGACGGAGCTTCAGAAACTGGGTTCAAAGACACAGGTGAGATGACAAAGGTCAGAGTGACACAACAACCTGCTGGACTGGGCTCCCGGCCGCGCCCTGAAGGTGCCTCTGTGCATGTTGCAGGTCAGGTCAGTAAGTCCAGGCGGCTTGTCGGTCTTCCAGCTGCTTGTGTCGCCGGCGTCGGCCTCCTGTTGTCAGCTGCTTCTGCTGAATGTGTCTGTATGTTGGCTTCTATGTTAGCAGTTCTGTGATGGGAGGTTGGTTGGGTTTTTTTTTTTTCAAGAGAACTGTAGCTTAGCTTATTATTGGTTCTTGCTAGCGATGCGTTCAAGAACCACTGACGGGTCCACAGCAGATCAGGTGCCCGACAGACCGGGGTCCCAGAATTAGATTACGTCAGACACTGGATTTCCAAAGTCCCCTGACAAGACATGTCGATGAGGTCATGACCTCCGCCCTCACCTGTTCTAGTCACCTGTGTGTCCAGTTGTTTTATCTGTCAGTCTGACTCCACCCACGTCGCCCTGACACACTTCTTCTTCTCTGGTCTGCTACTTCCTGTCTCCTCACTTCTGTACCTCCTCACGTTTTAAAACGTTGACAAAATCTCTGTGAATCCAGCAACTTCGCCTTTGTTTTTTTATTTGTTTTTTTATTTGTTTGTTGCATGTGCGCCGTAACACCGCCCACCTCTGGACCTCGTTTATACTCTGATTCTTTTTTGGATTTATCTTCCAAACCCCCTCCTCCTGTCTTCTCCCTAGACCTGTCATCTTCAGTCTGAGCCCCCTGTCCTCTCAGCCCCTCTCATAGGATTGGTTGTTATAGTGGCCTTGATTTGGTGCTGGTGGGAGGAGCTGGCATCCTAATGGCAGGTATGGCCACGCCCCTTATCTCTCTGCCTGACACTGTTTGTTTGGAGTGTAGCGTAACCTGACGTCACTGCACTGCATCTCCAGAGAGGGTTTCTATTCATCTGTATGACATCATTTTGATGACACTGCAGTTGTGATAAACACGGTTGTACTGCAGACGTACTTAGTATTAACTGGAGTACACCACCGTCACTGCCCCCATAACTAGTTGAATGTGAGTAAAGTAAAGTCACTGGGAGGTGGGTGTGTGGAGACTGTCACTGCCCCCATAACTAGTTGAATGTGAGTAAGTTAATAAGGTCACTGGGAGGTGGGTGTGCGCAGACCAGTATTGTGTATCTGTAATCTCCCCTGCGGTAGTTTAGAAACGTGTTCATTGGTTGAAAAATGCTGAATACGTTTGTGCTCACATCTCTTCTGCCATAAAACCTCACTCCCTGGTGGCCACTTGGAGTATAAATAATAGTTTAGTTAAACGCTAGAAGGTTCTGATGCTAGTATAAAGTCATAAACATTGCCCCCTAGTGGCTGGCTGCAAACATTGCACTGGTCTAGCCGCTCTAGTGTAGTGAAGACTTTTAAAAATGAAAATGTTCATATGAGAGTTCTGTATCGTTTCTATTCATGTCAGCGTGACGACAGTTTTAGCCCCACCCCCAAAGGCTGAACTGAACTGAGCTACACGACCCTCAGCTCTGGATTGGAACCGACCCCTCTTGAGACCCCTGGTCTATCTGTACGTGTGTTCAGAGCCAATTAGAAACAGACTTTTAAAATAATATACTTATTAATTTAAAAAACTGCTTAAATTAATTAGTACATAAATCACAAACATTCTCCAATTTCGTAACGTTCGGACGTACTATCGGTTTGTGAACTTCATCCTCAGTTTTGATACTTCACCCCCTGGTGGTGGCAAAATGTAGGTGATGATCTCAACTGCCCTAATATGAGGAGATTAGAATAATTATATTTCTGATCAGTAGAAATCTCTTTGATGAGGTCATGATTGGCAGATGACACTGGCCGTCTTTACATACTTGACGCTTTAAAAACAGACTTAGCCGTGTGTGTGTGTGTGTGGGTGTGTGTACGTGTGTCGTGTGTGTGTGTGGGTGTGTGTTGTGAGAACATATCTTTTTACAGGGTTACTTTTAAACGTCATCACTACATTTATAGTGTTGACGAGCGGATAGAAGCTCGTTAGTGACAAAAATACAGTGGATAAATGTGAAGTGTGATCTTACAGGCAGATCACTGTTATTATATACACCTTTTCTTTATCAGAACCAGTTTGCAACAGTTGACTGTGTTCGATGATTCAGCGTTAAAGTTCATTGTTAATGTCAAACGCGCAAAAAAAAAAAACCCTTGAAAAACATATTGTGCTGATTTGTTTTAGCCACGCCCACTTTTCATCCCTCTGTCTCTGCAGAGTAATTCTGATGGCTGGAACCTGGTCGTGGCAGCAGTTGCCGTGGCAGCCATCTTGGTTCTGGTCGTCCCCACCTTCACCAAGCCCTGAAGAACTCTGGGATACGTGTCTACCAAGTCGAATGTTGCTTCATCGATGTCGACCTTCCGTTTCGCTCTGTTTTGAGTGGGCGAGGCCTCAGTGGTGGGTTGACCCGATGCTTCAGACGCCACTGATCATCGAAAGGGAACTCCAGTAAGCTTGTTTAATTCAATGTCGTCCAATAAGAACCTCTGACTCTTCCTGATTATTACGTGGTAATAAGTGTTTATTTAAAAAATGTTTTATCGTAGCAAAGACTTTCTGTAAAAGTTTAAAACATAATACAAAGTAAAAAGGATCGAGTTTAGAGCCCTGTGGCACGCCCTCAACAACAACTTTTAACCAAAAAATAAATAATAAAACAACTGATGTTAAATATATTTACCCAACAACAACTTTTAACCAAAAAATAAATAATAAAACAACTGATGTTATAACAAAAAAGCACAAGGGAAATATTTGATACTTCTTTCCAAGCACAAAAGGGAAATATTTGATACTTCAGAATCTCAAAAAACTCTGACAGAAAAAAACTGTACTTTAAACTTTAAACTGTAGCAATCTCTGAAATAAACATATTTCAGTAAAACTCCACAGGTTTTTAAACAAAATTATGACATGGAAAAAATATTTTATTTGTTTTTTCCACAGTACCTATTAATAATAAATAAAATCAGGCTAAGTCACTAATTTAAGCTAAAAATCTAAGTCCTGGTTGTAAAAAATGATCCTCCTGTTTTCACTGTGCCAGTTTTTAAATAACATTAAATTCTAACTGATTTTGCACAACACGTAGCATAGACAGCTTTAAAATATTAGCTATAGGCAACGTGTTATAAATGTAAAAGTTTATTTATTTCTGATCGTGGCTAATGCCTGTTTTCTGTTTTATAGACGTTTATATATATATATATAATATGTCTGTAAAGTAATTAGAAGTGACAATAATTTAATTTTAAATCGTCTCGTTTTAAAGTGTGAAGGTAATATTAACATCAACCTCCATAACGTTTCTTAAAGTACTAGTATTACAGTGTCCTTTATTCAGTTTATTCAGTGTTCATGGCAGCGTTAATAATATTTAACTGTAATAGAAAATGGTTCATTTCCAAAGATCTTAAAATTTCACTTTTAATTTTTTAAATAAAATTATTATTTTTGTTGATTTTTATATAATTCTCGTTACATGTTTTACACAAACCAGCTTAAACTAATGTAGATAATATATGGAAAGGGGCCCAGTAGTGTGCCCTGAGGGACGCCATTACTGGTTATATTTTTGGAATAGTCAAAGTAAAGTGCTTTAGATTTAAGTTACTCAGAAAACAGACTCTTTTTTTCACTATAATAATAATAATTAAGTACATAAATGAAGGGGATTTGAACTCCCGTCCCTTAAAGACTTTTCCAAGACTTTATTTTTACAGAAACATTCAGAGCTCTACTATTGTTTTACATTTTTGTGAAAAAATCAAGCATTTTTGCACATAAATGTGTTCCGTTACGTTTACATTCAAATGGAGACCAAATATTAGTAACAACTGGAAGAAATACAATCAAACGTTGATGGATCGAAACTGTGTTTAGAATCTGGACTCAGACTGTGTGTAACAATGATAACTAAGCAACATTCCACTATAACTAACACTTAAAGCACGAGTTGAACGGTAGAATCTAAAAGATCTAACATGTCAAACAGTGTTAGCGCGTTTTAAAACCGACCTCAGGACCGAGCTGTGATTGAAGGGGCATTATCCTGAAGAAGCAATCGTTTAGAAAATGTAGGAATTTAAATGTCACATTTGTTTCGTTCAGTAGTTTTTAATATGCAACAACTGTGTAACTGATCATGTGACGTTTAAACCCATCGACCGCATGCGTCATTGTGTAACTTGCGGCATGTCATTACTTGGATTCTGTAAATACTTTGTTTGGTTGTTTAACAATTTGATGTTTCTTAAAAAATCTTTTTTTGTTTGATTAGCAATATGTTTTTGTTACGTTAAAAGCTGATTCCAACATAAAGACATATATAAACGACATCTATTTGGATCGAAAAGAAACAACAAAAGTAAAAGTAATTTGGAATGGAAAGTAACGCAAACCCTTATTGTGTAATTCAGTATATAATTGTAAAAAGATTGTAAAGTTATTATGGACAAAATTCAATATATTTTAAACATAATTTTGAAAAACGAGATCAAACATTTATTGTTTACTTGATTATAATAAAAACAACATCTCGACGACAGGTTGTTCTTTACATCTTAGTTTGTCAGAAAAGATAAAAAAAATGGAAACCATATTTTGGAAGTTTGAGATTTTGGAGAAATTCGCGTAAATAATTGATACTAAAAAACTGCAACTTTTTTTTAAAAGCAAGAATTTTACACAAAATATTCAAACAGAAATACATTTTGTATTTAAATTTAAGGAAAAACAACTTCTTACACATCTTAGTATGTCAAATATTAGCCAAAATTACGTAAACAGAATTTTGAGGGAAATCGGAGAAGTTCAAAAAACATCTTAAAAGCCACCATTTACCCCCAAACTGTAAAAGCCAAAAACATCAGATCTGAGAACGTCAACAAAACAAATTTAATCAGCAAAACAAAACTTTTTTTTAATATAATTTTTTTTTCTATTTTTTTGCACATCAGAAATGTCCTCTTTAATCAGCAAAACAAAACTTTTTTTTTTAACATAATTTTTTTTTCTATTTTTTTTGCACATCAGAAATGTCCTTCTAGAACCTGCATGCTCTTCCTCTGCAGTACTGCAGTACTGATGCATCTACTTCTTACTGTGTGTATCTGGTAATAATTGTACTTTGCTGTTCCAGTGGTTCAAACCATGATTAGTAAAGAAGAGCAGATGGACGTGTAGCTGGAAGATGTTTTTCAAATATCTGCGATTATGTAGCAGCAGAAGAAGAAGAAGAAGTGAGGCTGGAGGATGTTTTCTCTCAGCAGATATTTATTCTTCTATAAACACAAAACTGTAGTATCGACCGGTACATGAGAGTCTTTTCTTTTTATATGTTGTTCTTCCAAAAAAAATGGGACTGATCCAATGAATACAATGATCAGAAATGTTGATATTAAGTTTTTGGTTTTATTTTTTGATATATCTTATCCAGGTCGAACAATTGTTTTTTGGGGGCATTTGTTAAAAAATATTAACGAGATTATCAATGGCATGTAACCAAATTAATTATGTCAACAAGAGGGTGTTTAATTAATTAAAATAATTTTGTGATTTTTTTATATTTTTTATAATTTTAGATCAAAATGTCAAATTCAAAGCAGAATTTTTTTTTAAATTTATTTTTCTTCTTTTATTTGCTTATGATTAAGAATTTCTTTCCTGGAAATAAAACTCTGAGTTGTTGGTCAAATTCCTCTCTGACCCTCCTCCTCTTCCTCTCTCTCTGTACTGTACTTACTGTGTATTTTTTTGTTTGTTTATTATTCTCACTTTCATAAGTCTTTTCCTTCTGTGATCTGATTGGCCGCCTGCTGATGATGACATCAGCTGTGGCTCCGACCGGGTTTACGAGCAGCGTTTTAACGGGGCCCGGTCTCCCTCACTAAAAATACCCGGAGGTGTCAGTGCTGCTGCCGCTGCTCCAGTGGAGGCTTGAGGAGGTGCAGGGGAGGAGAGGGGGGTCGGGGGTGTGACCTGGAGTAGCCCCGCCCCCTCAGCTGTGTGTGTGTGTGTGTGTGTGTGTGTGTGTGTATATGGTCATGGCAGGGACATTCCACAGAGAGCAACTGAGTGACGCCGAGCTTTTTAAACTCACTCTGTCTCTGCTGCTGCTGCAGCCACAGCCTGCGCCTCCTCCTCCTTCTCCTCCTCCTCTGCCGGGACAAGAGCCTGGAGTCTGGGAACACCTTCTCTTCTTCCTCCCTTTCTTCTTCCCGTCCTCTTTTGGACATTTTCTTGAAACTTTCCTGGAGTTTGCGGCTGAGCCCAGAGCGGACTAACCAAACTGATTCTGGATCAGAGGCAGGAGCGCATGTTTGACGTGTCTACACACACACCACCCCCCCAGCGTGTCCTCCTTTCTTGTCTCCGCCGTCTCTTCTCCTCCTCCGGCTTCTTTCATCTTTCTTCTCCTCCTCCTCCGTCTTCTGGTTCTTCACTCTTTTCTCCAAACTCCCGTTGAGTCCATGGCTAACCCTGGACTGGATCAGTGACTGGGACTCACGCCTTGGCCGCCTCTTTGTTCACACGCTCCTCCTGCACCTCCTCTTCTTTCTTCTTGTCTTTTGATCGTCCCCTCCTGCTACCATGATGAGCAGCGGCGGCTACCTGGAGCCACAACTGCAGCCGCAGTTCTACCAGAGCTGTGGCGACCTGGGCGGGGAAGAGGAGGAAGAGATGCCGGCCACGGAGAAGGACCTGGCCGAGGACGCTCCGTGGAAGAAGATCCAGCAGAACACCTTCACCAGGTGGTGCAACGAGCACCTGAAGGTGCTGAACAAGCGCATCAACGACCTGCAGAGGGACCTGAGCGACGGGCTGAAGCTCATCGGGCTGCTGGAGGTGCTGAGCCAGAAGAAGATGTACAGGAAGTACCACAGCAGACCCAACTTTCGCCAGATGAAGCTGGAGAACGTGTCGGTGGCGCTGGAGTTCCTGGAGAGGGAGCACATCAAACTGGTGTCCATAGGTACGAACACACACACACACACACACACACGCACACTAGAGCTGTGTTTTCAGAACCTCAGAAGTGAGGAACCATCCCTGAGGAACCCAGGAATCTTTGTTTCCCGTGTGTCCACCCTGGTGAAGGTTCTAGAGAGAACGGTCTCTCCTCTGGTCTCCACCTTTTTGTTTCAGCCTCCACATCAAGTCTGGAACCTGGACCAAGTAGAAAAGTATTTGCAGGGGTTGGGGATTTGGGTTAAATAACTTTTTTGTACTCTAATAGTACTGCCAGTTGTGGAGTAGAGTAGAGTCCTGGTTCTTTTAGTTACTTCCTGGTCTTTTCTTGGTGTTGATGAAAGAAACGTATCGATAACTGGAACTTTGTTGTTGGCGTCTTTTCAAACACTAAATAATAATCTGTTGAAAAAAAAATTGTGAAACGTATCGATAACTGGAACTTTGTTTGTCTTTTCAAATACTAAATAATAATCCGTTGAAAAAAAATTTGTTTTTTCATGATCAATAACTGGACTCCAATCTGAATTCCAAGTGACCCCATATGGGGTTGCGACCCCAAGATTAAAAACCTAGGTTTCTGTTGCTAAACATGTTCATCAGTTTCAACCACTGAGCATCACAGATCATTAAGGACCATCAGAGACGACAGCTGGTCCATGAATGAACCTGACCTTAGTTAGGCCCCGCCCCAGCACTCAGACCTGGTCCTG